CCCTAGTATCCTAAAGCCTCCAGGAAACGAAGAGAGAGAGAGAAAGAGAGAGAGAGAGAGAGAGAGAGAGAGAGAGAGAGAGAGCTAGGTGAACAAGACCTCCGGAAAATCGAGTTGCTCCCGGCGAAGGATACGCCCGACGTGTACAGATTTCGGAAGCGGGATTTCACGGAGGAAGTTTCTCGCGACCAGGAGAGCAACGGTGCCGAGTGGCGACGGGACGCGAGCGAGCTGCCTTTCCAAGCGAGAGAAAGAGAAAGAGAAAGAACGGGTTAAAGTAATTCGTCCCAAATCGAGGCAATCCCGCGGAAACCCCGAAGCCAATTCCCAAAGAATTGCATTCTGAAACCGTCCACGTGGTGGCCCCTAGGCCAGACCGAACCGACTGTACCGCGCACGCGAGCACGCCGGAGCTCCCGTAGGGAGACTTTAGGGATCTTGGATCGATCCTGGAAAGAATGATGCCAGGGATATTCGCTCGTTTCCTCCTCTCGTCAACGGAAGTCGGTTGTCGCAAGCGTTACTTGGCCTTTTCGAATAATTACCCTCGCTCTGCACATCCCCCCGACAACGTTTGCGGTCTCTCCCGGTATCGAATATAAGTGGAGCGAACTTCGTTAATACCCAATGTCCCGCGTAAAATCCTACCGCCGCGTTTATATCGTTCCTACCGTTTGTTCGATATGAAACTTTCGTGATTAATTCCGGTAATCCTTCCCGTATAGTTGCGCGATTTATATGCGAATTACGTGTACCGAGCGGAGATATATATCCCAAACGCTCTCTCTCTCTTTGCAGCAAGGTGAATTCTTCGTGGCTTCAGTCTCGATATCGCTTCCTCTGTCACTCTCTTTCTCCATCTCTGTTGTAGTGTATCAGCGTGTCGCTATTTGAGGATGGCAGGCGAGGAAGTCTTCCGCAATTTTTTTCGCAAATATTTCGCAATGCGAATCGAGTGTGCCGCGCGGGATCAGAAGGGTGCACTCGCTACCCGTTTAATTTCCTTAATGGATCGGTCGCTGCCCGTTCAATGAATGATTACGAAATAGAGGGAGATATGAAGCGAGAGACCGCCGCAGTTTTCTTCCCGCTTGTCTCAGCCACCACGACTTGTCTTACCGCTTTTATCCCTCGTGTCCGTTTTCTTGCGCCGTCGCGGCGTGCCGCACCGAGTTACCGTTTTTCCCGTTCTCGCGCCGGCGGTAGAAACTTCTCGACTTGAATCATATCTTCTTCTTGGCATGCCGGTATCGTTACCGACTAGCGTTTCGTTCACCCGTGACTACTTCTTGTTCTCTAACGGAGATACCGGTAAGGCCGCGCAAAAACATTTCAACGGTAGATCCCCGCGCGAGCCACATCGGTTTGTTAGAGCGAAGGAAACGGGAAGTGTGTTCGTTTCTCGGGGACGTGATAAGTGAGAAGTACAAAAGTGGAGGTTCGTTCTCTTTTTCGAACGAGACCTGTATATCGAGCTCAAAAGCGATACAGAGTTCTCTCTCTCTCTCTCTCTCTCTCTCTCTCTCTCTCTCTCTCTCTCTCTCTCTCTCTCTCTTTATTTTTACTTTGGACAAAATCACCCAAAAAAATATTTTCATGTCATTTTTATTTTATGTGAATATTTGAAGAGAGAAATGACTTAAAAAATATTTACGCGTAAATTGATTTATATAGAGCGATATGTGCGCGCTATGAAAGAATCGCCGGGTACCGAGTATTAGCCCGGAGTATCGGGGTGAGCAAGCGCGTCGAAAACGCGTCACAAAGACCGGCGATGCCTTCTGTCACTAGCGGAACCCTGCGGCACTTTATAGGACAATACTAGACGGGCACAATACAAAGAGCCCGCAAATTGGCTTCGATGGTTCGTAGACAGGCCGCCATTCGGGCAAATCAGCGCCGCGAGGTTACGGTCGTCAAATCAATATTTGCACCTCGCCACCCTCGCGCACACACAGAGAGCCGGTGTGCAAAGTCAGGCGTGTCGGAATTAGTGAAGAAGGAAGGAAGGAGGCAGAGGGTAAAGAGGGGTTGGACCCGGCGGTGAAGGACGACGGCGTGGAGGAGAGGACGCGCCGAGGGAGCGCGCGCGCGGGGCTGGGACGGCGGGATTACGTGGTTGGTGGCGTTGGAAATCGGTGGTAAACTGAATTAACCTTGTTGACCCGCGACCGTATGTTACCAATGACTTTCTATTACGTCGGCCGGGAAGTCGCGCAGATAGAGTGTCCATTATAATCAAACGTCGCGCGCGGAAGAACGGAAAGGGAATGATGGAAGTGTCGCATCTGGCGAGACGCGCTCGCTCAAACGTGCAAACGTATGCTCTCTACTTCGCCCGTGATCCTTCGAAACCATTGGCTTCGTCTGCGCGGAAAGATTTGTTGACTTCATCTAGCTACAGGTAGATAAGTAGGTAGGTAGGTAGGTAGGTAGGTAGGTAGGTAGGTAGGTAGATAGGTAGGTAGGTAAGTAGGTAGGTAGGTAGGTAGGTAGATTGGTTGGTTGGTTGGTTGGTTAGTTGGCAGGCAGGCAGGCAGGCAGGCAGGGGTAGGTAGGTAGATATTTGCCGAAACAAGAACGCCCGGCGGCTCTATAACGGTATATCGAACCTCCTGCTCTCGCGTATTAATGCGGCGGAAGTTAGTTTCCGATCCGTTGCAGGTAAACTCGAGCACGCCAACCTTCCAGCAATTTTTGGTATGTAATGCAGTCTGTAGCACATCGATCAAGCCGACGATTACGTTCTCGCGTTTTGGCTTTTTCGTGTCGACAAGCGACAGCACGAACAGACGCCCGGACGATAAGTTCTTTGAGTTTGATGCCTTTCGAGTTTGCTACGTGGTGGTGTTTGCTACGCCTCCAATATTACGGGAGAATGTAGCGTCGGGGGCGTCGAGTTTCCTCTTTGCAGCTAAGAGGAGAGAAACTCAATTAGAAATGCGAGTAAGCATTTCCAACGAATATATTTATCAGTTTCCCGACGCGCGCATCCTAATCCCGACGAAAATTTCCGCGAATTCGATCGATTCGCAAGTTCGATTTAGTACGGCGGGAGAAATCCTCTAAGCATTTCTCGGAATATTACGCAAATTTACTATAAAAATTAACGAAACCTAGAGTTACAAAATTACCGCGTAACTGGTACGGAAGTTTATTTGCGCTCGATATGTGGAAGAGGTGAGATCAGCTTTGTGCTTGGCCGCCGTATCTGAAATATTTTCAGGATCGAGTGACGCGCGACGATCGCATGGTAGCGTTGCGAAAATAAATATCTCTCGGTAAACGCGTGTGATACACACGTCACAACCGCGAGTTCCCTCGACTCGACTCGAAGGAAAGAGTCGAGTCGTCGCGCGGCTCCATTCGACGAGGGTCGAACCCGGCGATGCGATGTGGGGTGCGCTGTTTGTTATTTCCCTACGGAATCGCTCACACGGGGTGAGTCGCAGAAAGCCGGCGGAAACTGTCACGTCGCGTACGACGAAGCGGGGTGTAGGTGTTCGTTGATTGAGAGTAATCTGTTTTGTTAATTGCAAGGTCCGCAGAGTCCGATACCTGCGGTTGCGTTGTGCTGCGTTCAGCATTACAAGTTCTCTCTCTCTCTCTCTCTCTCTCTCTCTCTCTCTCTCTCTCTCTCTCTCTCTCTC